TGGAAAAGGCTTTGTCAGTATTGAACCGATTTCAAAAATGCTTTCGTCACTAGAAGGCTATATTATCACTAAAAATAGACTATACAATAAACGGGACATTGTAGGGAAGGGTATGCATATAACAGAAAATATTCTTTGTCACCCAGATCAAGCCGAGGTGGATCGCGAGTAATAAAAAAATTATACTAATATTATAAATGTGAAAGTTTGGATGGATGGATGAATGTTTGGTGGAGTTTGTAGCCTAAACGGCTGAACGGATCCGGATAAAATTTAGCATAGATGTAAAGGATAGGCTGGAAGAACACATAGGCTACTTTCTTTTGTTTTTATTAATACCACGCGGACGGAGTCTCGGACGGAAGTTAGTGTAAATATTGTTGTTAAATACCCTGTGTCAGATTAACGTTGGTTTTTACACGTGCCGGCTCAAGTAGCATTACTCTGGAAACTTCATCTTTGCTCTAACAGAGTAGAACAGAGCTTATATTGCATAAATACCCAACTTCTAACTAGACATCTTGAGTTTATATCTGTTATTCTACACATATTGAAATTTGTGCATAAAATATATTAAACCAGTACTCTATTTAGCCACAAAGATATTTTGGTCAATTTAAAACATGTATGTATGTGGCGACAAAACGTAAATCAAATAGGCAAAATTAAATTTCTGCACTGCGCTGTACAAATATTTATGAGGGTATGAAATGCTAAACTCGAGCAACGCAGTCGAATAAAAACTATGCAAATCTTAACAACAAAATCAACTAAAAAATAACATTATCATGAATGCACCTTGATTTTGATCTTAATAATATTGAGATTTTTATCAGATTTGTACACGAGAAAAACTCAAAATATATTAAATTTATATCTTCTTAAGTATCATGAAAATTCGTTGCCTCAATTAAATAAAACGTTATCAGAAAAAGTTTGTTATAAAGGAAACTTTATATCAAAGTCACAGAGCTAGGAAAATGTAGGAAAACCATAAATGAAGATAACAGAATAAATGAAAGAATTTTGTCTAATCACAGGATGTACTTTCAAAAGAACTACTAACAATTTTATTTAATACTCGTACATCAATTACTCGTAATAAAGTTCGTTTTTGAAAGAACTTTAAATGTATCAATACATAATTTACGTATTACAATAAAAAACACTCAAAATATATTATCATCTACCTGTTCATATAAATGCAACATAATTTTCTTTTATCATAAAAAATTAAAAACAGCTCCGTATTCGTGACTAGAATTTACGAGCCATTCGCCTACGCTTGGATATGAGCCAAAAAATCTTTTAATTCCACCTCTTCTTTGGACTTGTACTAACTTTTGTTACCTTTTTTATAAAGTGACAAGAATTTTAATTTTATTACGCTTTTAGTAATTATTATTTCATGACTATTTTGTAAAATTAGATTAAAATAGTCCGAAAGAGACTAACTTGGAATGAAACAGTTTACGAGGTAATAAAATAGGCACCTAGTACGTAAACGCCGGAAAGAACAAATGAAAACCGTTTTCAATTACAAATTGTGTTTGAAACAGCTATTCATTAAGAAGTTTTTAACTGAGACAACCGTTTTAAATTTACTCATAACCAGCCCTTACTCGCGACTTCGTCCGCGTGATAAAATTATATAGCCTATGTTACACACAGATAAATTACATTTTTAATAGTGCAAGAATTTTTAAAGTCGGTCCAGTTTTTACGTGAATCAAATTCATACAGAAATACAAATCCTTTCCTCTTTATAATAATAGTATAGGGATAATAGCTTAATCACTTCATACTTAAAAGTCAAACTTTAAATTTTATGTGGAATGTAGTTCGTTCTTTTTCCAGTAAGTTTTAGTTAATAACCTTACAGTTCTAGAAATAAGAAGAAGATAGGATTGCTTTACGGGACCACTGCGGTAAAGGTCGTTTAAATTGTGAGAAACGGCTTGCATTCAATAATTCATGTGTTTGCGCCCTAAGATCAGAACACACCGATTCTTGCCAAGATTGCGACTATTGATTGTAAAATGCTAGCTAAAAATATGAAATTCATTTAATGCAGGATTTTTGTTTGAGATACAAGTTTAAGAGTAGCCCCAGAAATAGAGAAGGTAAAGACTAAATGGTTAGCATGGTATGGGCATGTTATAAGGAGGGATGAATCGCATGTTACAAGACGAACGTTAGTTACGAGTGTAGAAGGGTATATCGGTAAAGGTAGACCTAGAAGGAGATGGATGGATTGAGTAAAAGGTGACATAATCAAAAAGGGAGTGATGACTGAGATGACGTATGATAGAGTTATGTGGAGGACAAAAATCTGTTGCGCCGACACTACGGGAGTAGGATAAGGAGAAAGATGATGATGAATTTAGTGTAGGATTGTAATCTAATAACTCTGTTCCATATTTTATCTAAATCAGTACAACCATTTTGGACTTATGAGACATTCCGCCAAATCGCTTTATAACTTTCATATTAAATCGTCATATCATAATTAAATAGCATTTTTATAGGTGTGTTTAATCTAAATAATTGGTTAGTAGTAAAGTTGTTGCTTTATTATTAAACTCAAGTTATATAAAGAACTTAGCTACTTGAATAAGTATATAAAAGTCCCTTTAAAGATAATAAATAGCAGATAAACATTTTATCGTCATTATTTAGCCTCAACTGCGACTCAGACCTCTATAACGAGAAGCGGTTTAATAGTACAATTGAACAAAATAAACATTTTTATTGTTAGTTGCAGCGGGACGGGAGAGACTTTTGTCCTTTTCTATAATACTGTCCAGTATTGTTGCCAATGAAAGAAATGGACAACGCAGTATATATAGGGCTGACCCACACAGTTATAAAATTAAGAAAAATAAACGGGATGCGAAGAAATGTCTCGCCTTTTTGGTTTCTTTATAAATTTGAGTACCTTCTCAAAGGCCGGCAACGCATCTGCAGTTCCTCTGGTATTACGGATGTCCATGAGCGTTGATGAAATTCTTGGTGTTCCCGCTGCTCATTTTATAAAAAAAGATAAGTTTACAAATTGACTATCGGTAAAGTTATTTTTTTATCACTATTATGCATAGTGTTGTAAACATTAAAAGACTTTTTTATATGTATTTCATCGTCTTTAATATTCCTTCGGTTCTTTTTTAGACACCCATTTTTTCTAAAGTGATAATTTGACATCCTTATATTACACTTATATGTATATAACAGCCAGTATGTATTAATTGTAGATCAAACCTCCTTATCAATCCACAACACATAGAAAGTAGACATTCTGATCTCCAGTCGAGAGATTTTAAAAGAATGTGTGACTCTTATAGGATAAATAAGTTGTTAGAATGTTCTAAATCTTCTTTTGACCTATTTTTGATCAGATTTACGGGCTTCAGAATATTTTAAAATCAAATTTGACAATCGACAACCCTATAGAAATAGTTGTTGCTCGTAATATGATACAGGTTGCTTGCATCAGATTAAGATCTTAGGAGCTGAGTTGAATCTTTATTATCTAGATTTCTCTCTTTATATAATAATGTATGTGATGGTTAATATTTATGGTAGGAGATAATACTTTATATTTCCCATCACGATTGAAACAAACAAATATTCATGATAATATAAATCAACCTAAAGAATTATAAAATTCCTTGCCACTATGTATATTGGTTCTTTAGTATTCATAACTAAAAAAGAACTTTCTACTTGGTGGTAATATGTATTTTCTAATTGTTTTCACATTTTTTTTATAACATAATACCTGAATTCACCGAAATGGAAAGCGACTGCTGCCCATAGACATCCGCAATTGCAGATGCGTTGCCTACCCTTGATTGACGGAGGAGGAGACGCACATAAAGATGACATTTTCCCTTCCTATGCGTCTCCTCCACCGTCAAATCCACTTTTCCTTCCCATCCTTACCTCTTAAGAAAAGGGTGGAAAGAGAAAGGGACTAAAATTAGGCCTTCGGCACCACACTCATCAGACGAAACGCGGAATTGCTTCCAATTCACGCCTGTTTTCTGTGTGGTCGTGATATTACACCGGGCGAGCCGGCCCATTCGTGCGAAGATGTTAAAGCGGGCTCTACCACTATTACATGACATAGAAATAAGAAAGGAATGTAATTACCTAAATGTTGATTTTATTTAAGAAAATATTTCGAATCACTCAAGTGTAGTACCACCTTTACATCATGTCCTAGAAATGAGCCTGCGTAGAAATGAGCGAATAAGAAAAAAAAACAGAAGAGGCAGGGAGGGTGACGGCGTAAATGAGTTATACCTTGAGATTGCTGTATTATGTCTTGTCTTCCCTTTTGACAGAGAGGAGCTTGTCGCTGAGGTAATTTGTCTCTACGGCATCATGTTTAGCAAACTGAAGTAATAGTATTTTAAAATAAATGACAATCTTTCACAATTATTACTAAATAGAATCTTAGAGGAATTCAATAGGACCGAATTATGTTTTTTACTTCAAGATTAATAATGATTTTGCCAGAAATTGTTAATGCCCAAGTTTTAGATTTAATAGCATTTCTTAGTAATAAATAAAAATAAGGAAGTGTGCGAAAAATACTGAGTTAAATCCAAATTTGTAAAGGTCCATGTATCAAAACAAATTACCTCTTCGCTAGATGGCGCTGTTCCCGCCCTTGCAGCAATTAAAACACCGGTTCATCTCAAAACAAATAATTTCCAGGTTCTCTGCATCATTCAAGACGTCCCCGACTTTGCATTCGCTGATTTCAATTATAAGCGACGATAACCGAATATGTGCGCGTTTCGCACCCTTCGCCGTATTGCAAAAACTAACGCCGTTTTTGCCTCTGCGGCAATTCTTTTGTGTTACGAATTTTAACTTTATAACAATGGGGTAAAGTTAAAATTGCGTTGTCTCGTTCGTATCGGGGATGCTGCGTCTCAGTATGTATTATAAATTGGTTTAGAGCGGCGCGGGGGAGCAGCGGTTCTCGCTCGATACCCGCTAGTAGCGAGTCTGACCCCCGAGCGTTCGCCGGCCTAGTGACGTCCCGAATCGCAGCCTATTGAACGAACTATCGATGTTTAGTGTTGTACTCGAGTGTTCAACACCTGTGTTTTTGTGCTTTTCTATATCTTTGTATAGTGTTTTTGGATTGTTTGTGGGACTTGCGCGGACGGTGGTTCTCTTGGAAAAGGTGAGTTCGTTTTACTTATATTCAGCTAAAACTTTTATCTCGGAAATTCGAGTTTTAATAGTTTGTGTGACTAAAAATCCTAGACTTCTATAAAGCAAATCTACCATTCTCACTATAACAAATAAATTAAATCCAGTTAGTTACATTTTATTTAAAAAGAAACTCCAAACACACGCACAGTTTCCATTACAATTTAATCGCAAATAAATAGTCCCATAGGCTATTTCTAAAATACTTTCTATCACATATTATTTTAGCATATTTTAATATCAAGTAAGGGAAAATCATCTAAATTTTAATCAGGATTCATGTATCCAAATATTACGATTAATTTCTATGGAAGTTTCTTTATCTAAGAGTAGTAAAAAAATGAAAAATATCCTGGAATAAGAATGTTTTGACACGTATTTAATAAGTATAAAACAAATAAAAAAAGATAAAGAGTTTGTCAAGCTCTGACAACGCATCCCGGGAGCGGGTATTGCCACAACAGCCAGTTTTTTCGCACTTTTTAATTTTCCTAAATAGTTACGTACTTACTAACACTTGGTAGTGTGCCAATAAGTTTAATTAGACTCTTTTCCAATCAAAGATACTGTAAAAAGTCCTTCAAATAACAATTTCAATATCTCCTAATAAATCCTGTTAAACCCTGATTCTTCAATGTACGCTTCTGTAATTTTTAATATCTTCAGACGACTGGGTTAGTCATCGCATACTTTTCCCCCTTATTTTAGCGTTAGATGTCTGAGCTAGATTTCACGCTTCATTGGAAGTGCGATGAATAATGTAAATTAAGTAACAATAAAGTTGTCGAGGTTTTACAAGCAATTGTTTGTTTTAAAAAAGTATAAAAAAACATTTACTCCTGTATAACTCTCGCAGCAAGAATGCCGATATAATTGTACAATTTTCAATAGACTATTGTGGATAAAATCACAAGAGTTTAAGGGAAGCTATTAGGGTGTTATTAGTATGGAGTCTAGAAGTACAAAACAGTAGTCAAGAAAGATCAAAATCATTGGAAGTTGTTCTGTATTTATTATAAACAAGCTTTTGTCCGCTACTCTGTCCGCAAAGAATTAAATCATAATCAAAGAAAGTACACTTTTTTTTCAGACTGTCCTTTATCATAAGCTTCATCCAAATCTGTTTAGTAATTTAGGCAACAAACTCTTACAAACAATTATACAAATTTTTGCATTTACATTAGAAGTAAGATTATTCCAGTCGCTGGTCCCCTTAGATACCTTTTGAAGAAAATATAGTGAGTATATTTACTTACATGTAGTATGTATAAGCCTGGAACTTTCCAAGGCTTCGCTAATACCAATCTTCTTTGAAACGCTGATCAAAGATGGCCGCGAAAACCTCCCCTTTATTATCTGTCGCTAAATTGATTCTTCAACCCTTTAAACAAATTGATTGTAAAGCCTGGTAGCGGGGATGTAATATTAATACTGCGTTCAGCTTTTGTAACTTAAGATTCTTTTGAAGTATCAAATATCTGTTATGTAATATTGTTGAAATAGAACTTGGTACTATGAAAAGCGATATTGATGTTTATGGATCTTTTTTACTTAATTATAAGTGAATTTGAATACTTAGAAATAAAATTTTACACACTTAAGTATCTAGAAGAAAATTTAAGCCGTAGTTTATTGTACAGCGTCATTATTTTTTGGAATTCAGTGCTAAAATATTTCGTTGTACTATAATTATTGTTTTAATAAAAATGTACAATATTAAAACGAATTTATCAAGGATTAATTGGTACTTCGCCAGTTGGAACCGAGTCGTTATTGACCGCTTAATTTCGCCGGAAATTTCTGGATTCTATTTTTCATTTTTTTCAGTTCCGTCAAAGTTCCAGTGGCCGACATTTTACATTTTCACTTTATATCTAGGTTTCTTTAAAATATTAATCGCGTTGTTTGCTTTTAATGATTGAATTTTTCTTTAGAGTAAATTTAATAAACGAAATTTAATGACAATATGCATATGTTTTTTGAGTTCAAATACAAAATCCAATTCAGCAAACAGAAGTTCATTAACATTACATTAGTTTAAAAATAATGTTTCAACGTTCAGGGATGTCACTTGGCAGCAATGGCAAGAAAATCCTTGTGCCAACCCTACGTGTCTTCGCAATTTGCTGAAGCGCTCCTGGCGCTTTTGCCAACTGCGAGACTTTGACCCCCGCACGTTTCGTCTCAGGCTATTTTACTGATGTACATTGGAGGACATTTATTCCCTACCCATTTAAATTAAAAGACGACATCGTGTAGCAATATACGAGCAACAACATTCCTAGAATTAATGGTGATTGTTACTAGTATGTCATTCGAGCCAAAGTGGTAATCAAATATATTTCTTTGACTGTACATTCTGATTACGTGGTGAATGTGGCTTATCGCTTTAAAGCCTCTACTTTGTCGTTTAGAACGGGATCAATAGTGCTGGATAGATGTCATAAATAAAGTATACAATGTAGTAAATTTGCTAAGCACTTCTGTGGCGCTACTTAGGTTATGATAAACCAAGATACTGGTGCAAATATGTTAGAGTGGTGTGGTATCATTCATTTTATAGGGATTAAAATAATGGGGGTAGTAAAGTTATGTATTGATTACATTATGCTTTCATGTGGCAACTTTATTGGTGTAATTATGTAAAGTTTTTATATGTAACTATTTGTAATTTGTCTGTACTTGAGTCTCGTAAAATTGTAGATATGTGCTATTTACATAAACCTATGATAAACATATATTTTGGCTGGTATTTCATAAGGATGTTTTTTTTATATTTATTTTATTCATAAATGTTTTGATAAATATTTCTTCAGCTCAACGTAACAAGAATAGAGTACAATTTAGTTCCATATTGTGGTAGTGGTTAAATTCGTTTTGCGATCGTATTGGAGTGACCTTGCGGGGCAAGGGATAAATACCTTCCCCGGATCGCTCTATAGAGTCACACTGCCCGTAGGGCTGGCAATATGAAGTCTTATCTATTTATATTTGTTTTTGTACTTTAAATACACATTACAAATACATTATATTTTTGGTTTTTGAATAAATATATATTTTCTATTAGGTTTATATTAATTATTAATTAAAACACGAACCTCATCTTTGAAAAGATATAAAATATATTACGGATTGTAACGTAGTAATATGTGGTTTTCTCATAAGAGTTATGATAGATATATGAAAGAATAGTTTTTCTTTATAAAGAGATAGATAAGAAGATACATAGATCGATTACCTCGACAATGTTTAATAAAAGTTGTAAAAAAAAAATTATAGAGACTCTGTAAAATTAAAACACAAATGCCAACCTTTATGTCAGTTGTTTACTCTACTTTCCTTAAGAATAAAAAAACATTCAAGAATATTAAATTGAAAATTTTTCTAACTACATTTTGTAAGAGTCGACAACCCTAGGGGCGGGGTTAACGTCCAGTCAGACAGGGGTGGCGAGGCGCATGCGTGGTCGCTGTTTTGATCCGTCTCTATTCAAATGCGAGGACCGAATATGCGCAGTTTTTGGCAACAGTTACTCTGTAATCAACTATATGTATTGTGTATGTAATATTGTGTAACATTTTTCATACGATAGTTATATCTTATGTAATAGAGATCAAATATGTACAAACCGAGGTTATTGGGACGAAATTCGGGAATTTGAAATAAGAAAATTAGATGTTTTCTTTACAATTATTACTTTTATCTACACTTTAGTATGTAAGTTTATGATAAAATTGTTTCCTTTTAAACTAATAACATGTAACTCTTAATAAAAACAGCGTAACTATTCAATTAAATTATTTTCTTCTCGTTAAAATAATAGCGGAAAATGCGTCAGCAATAGGCTGTTATTGAGTTGACAGCATATGTCATTACGCGTAATGGAACGCGGGACGACGATGACACGACTTGGGAACGACGACGACACGACTACAATATGATTCGAATAATACAACGATTTACAAAACTTGCTATGAACTGTAAACTTCCTTTTAAAACATGGGTCTTAATTATTTGTCACGTAAATAGTTGCTTATTTCAGAGCTCTAAGTAAGGGTGCCCCTTAGTAACCGCTTACTAACTCTGGGTATGTGATTAAGTCATAATATTAAAATGGACCGTTTGTGTAACAAAATTATTCATATTCTTTCGCGTGTGGCCGAGAAGTTAATAATGCTGTCTTTAGATAATTCCGAAAAGGGTTCGGTTAAGACCCTCGAGCTTTGTTTTCTTTGTATCCCTAACGTGGCTAATTTAAACTGAATATATTCGACCATTATCAACAGAAGAGGAATATTATCTTTTTTTATTCGGATGTTTTCTTTTATTTAATTTGAAATATTTTGCTCTTTTGTGAAGTGACAACAATTTAAGTGTTGCTCAAATTTCTTTTAAAAAATTAAATAGGTCTAAGTTATAAATTCTTAATCAAACGAAGGTTTCCACTGACGAAAGTTTTATTAAAAAGATATTGATTATTTAACTACAGGTATACAAATTAGTTGTAAGTTATTTTCACAATAAAAAAGATTTTTGGATCAAAATCTAAAATGCTTATTACATAATAAACTAAAACTTGTTTTGTATCTTTTATCTCGTAATCAATTCTTGGTAAAATTTTAACAAAATCTCGGTTTCGTGTAGGCATTAAATCAAGGTATTATCCGAGAGAGGGCGTTGAGGAGTTAGTTATAAATGGTCCGTCAATGCTTCTCGCTAAACCCCTCAATAGTGCCGAGTTAATATATTATGAAATACCAGACGGGATTTTTAGAACCTCGTTAAGATAATTAATATTTTGCCGTAAAGCATAACATTCTTTGAATATAAAAATATAAATATTTTAGTAAGAACGAGTTATTTTCTTACTTTTGATTTATGATACGTTAGTTAGATTGGTACTGATAAGTATATAAGAAATAAATATTTCGGATTTTTAACATTTAAAATAATAATTATTAAATTAAATGA